TCTTTACAGAAGCAAAGCCCAAACCACACCCACTGCCTGGAGTCGATTACGACTCACAGCGCCCCTAGAGGACAGAGTGGAACTGCACTACAGGGTGTCTAAGGCTGTCGATCTTTTCCGAAGTAGACTGTCACATCTTACTGCCACATCTTTCTCCCACAGAGTGCTGGCGGGTTTGAACTGCTCATCTTTTGTTTAGCATCTGAGCACTTCACCTCTGGGCCCCCAGGGCTCCTCAAAGGAGAGTAAAGAAGACCTGACTAGTTGGGAAGGCACCATTGTGAACTGGAAGACGGAATGTTTCTGAGCTGTCAGTACCGCCCAGAGCAATCCACCAACTCAGCGCAACACCGATCACAATCCCTACGGCCTTCTTTCCCACACGGAGAAACCAATCTTCAGTTCTGTGTGGACTGGCAAGAGGCCCCGGAGAGTCAAACCAAGTCTGAAGAACAAAGTAGGGGACTTACTGTTCTTGATTTCAACACATACTATAAAGCTACCATCCTCCAAACAGACTGGCATGGGTCTAACCACAGACACAGAGACAATGGAACAGAACCGAGAGTCCACAGGAGTCTCTCTCCACCGAGTGCTGCCCCCTGCCCCTCGCCTGCTCACAGCCCTCTCGCAGCCCCGGACAGCACCAGGACAGACCCAGAAACCGGCCACAGAGGCCCTGTGTGGGCTCGGCCTTCGAGGCCCTCATGCTCTCCCACGTTCCCACTGTCATCTCCCACCTGTCACCCTGCCCTCACCCTGCGCTCCCCTGTCCACACCAAAGCACAAGTGCCCAGATGAGATGCTGAGGACAGTCTAGGACCCACGAGGAGTTCAAGAAGCCTTTGCTACTGCGACAGTTCTCACGGCCTCCAAGATTTGCCCTCTGCCTGCTACTTTGCCCTCTTTCTTCCCTCCTAGCTGGGCTGATTGCTGCTCATTTTTTTTTAATATTATGAAATATTCAAAATTAAATAGAAAAGCACAGAGAGAAATATAATAAACACCCAGTACCTACTATCCTAGGATCCTTGGTGACACAGTAGTTAAAACACTTGGCTGCTAACTGAAAGGTTGGCAGTTCAAACCCCCCAGCCAGCTCTGTGGGAGAAAGATGAGGCAGGCAGCTTCAGTAAGATTATAGCCTTGGAGACCCTGTGGTGCAGTTCCACTCTGTCCTCTAGGGGCGCTGTGAGTCGGAATCCACTCCATGGCAGTGGGTGTGGTTTGGGCTTTGCTTCTGTGAACATTGACAGCCTTGGAGACCCTGTGGGGCAGTTCCACTCTGTCCTCTAGGGGCGCTGTGGGTCAGAATTGACTCCACGGCAATG